GCAGTCCCGAGCTACAACCAGGTAAGATCTGCTGCCGCCCGGGCCTCGGGCCCGCCCGAGTTCTGGCCCGCGGCTCCCCACCCCCACCCCTCCCAGTTCCCCCTCCCGCCACCGCCGCCTCCATTTGTTATTTTCTCGATCCGGTCCCCCACTGCGGGGACTGCCTGGCCTGAGGCTGGGGGCTCAGGGGGTGGGGCCGGCCCCCGTGGAGGGATGGGGGCCAGGACATCTGGAGGATCGGGAAGGTGGGGGAGGTGGGAGGGTCTCACGAGGAGGGCTGATGCGGGCAGGAGGGTAGCCAGGACTCCGGGACCCAAAGAGGAACCCCGAAGTGGAAGGCTGGTGGAGGAAAAATGGGATGCCGGTGAGGGGGCAACGGAGCGAAGGCAAAAAGGAATGGAGAGATGGCAACGAGGTGGGGCGTGAGGACTCCAGGAAAAGCCCCAAAGGCCCAGATCTCAGGTTTTAGAACCCAATTTCGGGGTGCTAGGTATAGAAGGGAGGTGGGAAATGGGGAAGGGGTGTGGTAAGTGGAAAGAGAGGGCTTATAGTTGATGAGGGAGGAGAATGGAACCGGGAAAGGGCCGATGAGAGGGCCACCTTTGAGAAGAAGAGCCCGAGGTCGACCCTGGTGGGAGTGGGAAGGAGATGCCTTTGTGACTCAGTTTTCTTTCCCCTACTCCAGGTCACCTCTAACCTTGTTTTTCCAATCCCAGACATAGGTACTTCTTGGAGAGGGGCACAATGGGGCCCAGCAGTGTGGGTCCTCCCGCAACTGAGGAGGAGGAAGATGGGAACACTGAAGGGAGAGTTAAGGAGGAAGGGCTTCTGGCAGGGTGGAAACAGGAGAGAATTGGGCAGTCTTACAGGCACTCCAAACAAGTTGTGACCCCCACCCTCAAATCATCAGAGCACCCACTGCCCCTCTGGCTGTGGTTTCCTTAAGAAGGGGTGGATCTTCTTTACTGTTTTGAGCTCAAAGATTTCCCTTTGTGCATGGACTTGTTTCTACTGGGGTAGGTACTCTTAAGCTCCCTTCCCTGCGGGTGCTATAGGGGCATAGGAGTTGCTTTGGCAACTGGAGGGGAGGTGGCTGGCACATAGATCCCTTGGGATGGATTCTTGAGGGGCAGGTTCTGCCATTTTGTTGCCATGGCAATGATCCAGCAGGATGTCCAATAGATGAGGGTTCAGAATCTAGACTGGGCCTCAGCCTTTGACTGTGTCCTTGAGACTCTTGACTGGGTTCTGGAGGATGTTTCTGGTGCTGCTGGTGGAGAGGAGATTCCCTAGGGGGTCCACCCCCTTCCATCTAGTAATCTTTAGGAATATGTAGACATGTTACTTGCAGGTCATGGGTGTTTCTCCAAGTCCCTCCTCTAGGCATGGTGGGAGGATGGAAATCCTCCTGTACCAAGTTATACCATCCTTTGGCAGTTCTTTCTGGCCTCTACCTCCTTCATTATTAGGGACTTTTTGTATACAGTAATCTTTTTTGCTTATTTGCACAGATATTCTTCCATATTCATAAACTTGAGCCTTCCTTCCTGAGTATCCCTTTTCCTCTTTCCCAGACTATCCTTACAATGACCCCTTCCCCCAGCTAACCTTCGACCTTATGTTTCTCTGACCTTATAGGAATGGCTGGGCTCTCCATGCCCATCCCAGGGGAGGGTGGCTCAGGGGAGAGGGCTGTGGAACAGCCTGGTGCAGTGGAAATATTCAGGAACAGGAGCCAGCAGACCTGGGTCTAGTCCTGGCTGGACCTCTAACTGACCTTGGGCAAGTCACTTCTTTCTTTGAGCCTCCACTTTATTGTCAGATAAAGGGGTTATAGATAAGATGATATCTGAGGCCCCTCTGACAACTGTGCATTCTAAGGCTTAGGCCAGTGCCTTGTCATTATCTGCTGGTCTGGGCTGCACTGTTACCACTTTGGACTGGTTTGTTAGTCTGGTTGGTCTGGAATGATGGTGGGGCTGGGCCAACGATCCTGAAATTCACCCTGCAAGCCAATCCTAGAAAGCCTTGCAACCCAAGTGTATTCCTTCTGAGATCCTCCTGGTATTGCTGCACGAATTTCTTTTCCTGGTCTTACTTAGAGACTCTTCCCCTGTTTCTCCTGTTTCCACCTCCCCAGTCTGGCCTTTATCGCTTTGCTTTTGCAGTAAGATGCTGAAGGTGAATTTGCTTAGTGTTTTCCAGATACATAGTAGGTGCTTTATAAACCTGAGTTATAGTGACTGGCTCCTGGGGCAGGAAGGAGGGTGGCTCAGCTCGCTGGTGCTAACATATGCTCCAGGTTCAGGAACGTGTATATAACCCAACCCTACCTTCTCTCTCTCCTGCCACTCCTTATCCCCAGGGTCACCTACCATTTTATGACTGCTTTTCTCCTTCAGAGCTACTCATTGCTAATTTTATCAGATTTTAGCTGATTAACAAAGTTGAGGTGGGGCAGGGGCACACTATGATTGTTCTGTTCTGGTACATCCCTGCCTTTCTCTGACCTTTGGGATCCCCTGGCTCTCACAATGAACAGGTTCTGTGATGGGGCGGAGGGAGGAGCATCTCCTTTAGAGGGGCTGGCAAAAGCACACCAGTCACAGTCATCCCTGGGGTGCTTTGTTAAGATTGTTTTCCCCTTTTGTTATGTTGGGTTTTGTTCTTTGGATTTTGGGGGTTGACAGTATTTGAAAATCAATTTACACAACAACTCAAAAAATGTGGTAATAGTTGTAGTTGAAGAGAAATGGCTGGTTTACTGGGCAGAGCGTCAGTTTAGAAGTTTAGAAGACCTGGACTCTGTCCCAGCTATTTTGTGACTCCAGGTAAATTGTTAGTAAGTTCCCTGGAAGGGTGAGGCTCGCCCCTCGCTGCAGGCCTCAGTAGGGTTCAGTGGAAGTGAGTAAGAAGTAATTGCTCTGTATTCCTTGTGGAAAATGTGCTATAGAACGTGGAGATGCTGTTTGCCTAGCCAGGCCTAACAGGTGGGGAAGCTCGCTCTGTTCCCATGCAGGCCAGCAGCACTTCATTCAAGAAGACCTACTGAAGTTAGCGGGTTTAAAGGTCAGTAAGGAACAGACCATAACAGCCATATATGCATGGCATCAGTGGGGGACATAGTAAGGAAGAAAACAGTGAGAAGATACCATTTTTGTTCTCAAAAGATCTTATGCAATACAAAGTGTTAAAAAAAAAAGATCTTATGGTTAGTAATATGGAGAGATGTGACACTTGGCAAGATATACAAGTAAGTGCAAATGAAAATTGCTGACTGTGTTGATACGGCTCTATAAAGAAATATATAGATACAGATTGGCTGTGAGGAGGCGTGAGTCCCTGTCTCAGCCCGTGGGATTTGTACATTCGTCTTGCGTGTTCATTGATATTCGCTGATTTGTGTGGTAAAGCCAAAGCCCTGACTTCTGCTGTAGCCTTGGGAACCCAAGCCCTAGCGCTGCGGGTGGGGAGGTCTTATGAGACTCCCACAAACGAAGTTCTGCACTCTGGGGTACCTCGGTTTGGTCTCAGGATGGGTAGGGCCGTGCGCCTTTGCCTTGTAGAATGGGACATTCTTCTCCCACCTACTCTGTTGTGAGAAAAGATTCCTTTCATATCTCTGGACTGATCTAGGCCCTCTGAGAATTCCCCCCCACTGACTTCTGATGAGAGTACAGCTAAGTACTGAAGAAAGAGCTTTGAGTCATTGAGATGAGGCTTGGTTCCGGGGCCGACACTGCTTCCTCCCTGTGTATCCATCACATGAAGCTGGGCAAGTCATGGTCATAATCTGTGCTCCTCAGTTTCTTCACCTATATAATGGGGATATTAAGAATACCTGCTTTTCAGGAGTGGTTGTACATATGAAATGAAATTGGATATGTAAGGGCTTGACATAAAGGCGCTCAATAAATTAGCTAATACCTCAGCTACGTTTCTTTATGCTCCTTTGTAAGGCTCTGTGGAATTCGTGTGCGTGCGTGTATCTCCTCGGGGTTGTAGAAGCTGAAACAGTGTGATCTCCGGACTTGGGGCGCATAGGCACATCCCAGTTTTCTGCCTTCCCCAGAGATGAAAGAGATGAAATTGTGAGCAGCGTTTCCTTCGTGAACAGATAGCTGGGGAGACCAACAGGGCGCCGGTGTCTTATAGCCCGTGGCAAGCGCAGAAGTGCCCCCTTCACACTCTGGTCCCCAACTTGGAGACTCTTACGGTCTTTTCCCAACAGGCTTCCCTGAAAACAGAGCCGGCAAGTTCCAGGTGCCCATACCGGAAACTTGCAGATCCTGCCTCCTGCTTCCCAGGCCACAGCGGTGGGGGACTTAGGGTGAAGCAGTAAGTTTCTGTATTCAGCTGCCCAGGCGGAGGAGAATGGGGTCTCCACAGCCTGAAGAATGAAGACACGACAGAATAAAGACTCAGTAAGTAGTAGCTAAAGTGAGAGACATGACAGATCAGGGGCAGGGAAACCTCTGGCCTGTCTCAGGGCCCCGCCCACCCCCCACTTCTACACTTTCCTCCCTCCCCTCCATTGCCAGACAGCACCCCCTGACAGCCAGAGCCTGGCTTTGAACCCCATCCTTCTGTGACACCCACTGGAGAGGAAGACTAGAAACAAAGGCACGTGATAAGGTGAGGTACAGTGTAGAAATCTACATTATCTGCTTGCTTCCTTCTCCTGCAGATGTCAATGAGGAGTGGCCGAAAGAAGGAGGCCCCTGGGCCCCGGGAAGAGCTGAGATCGAGGGGCCGGGCCTCCCCTGGAGGGGTCAGCACATCTAGCAGTGATGGCAAAGCCGAGAAGTCTAGGCAGACGGCCAAGGTATCCCCTGGTCCTCCCACAGGCTGCCTGGGCACAGGGGCTGAGGATGTGTTGGGGGGAACTTCCTGTCTGGCAGAGGGTACTGGTGGACCTTGGGAGGTTTAGGACAGGAATTTTCTTTCGTTCTAACAGAAGGCCCGAGTAGAGGAAGCCTCCACCCCAAAGGTCAGCAAGCAGGGCCGAAGTGAGGAGATCTCCGAGAGTGAAAGTGAGGAGACCAATGCACCGAAAAAGACCAAAACTGAGGTGGGGGACCCTGGCAGCCATCCTGACCCATTTTCTGACCATTCTTTCACCCAAACTTCCTTTCACTCACAATTCCTATTTTAATCTTGCCTGGAGTACGAGAGCAGAGTCATATCCTAATGCTTATTAAAGTAGCCTGTCTACTTTAATATGTCAGTTAGATCTTTAGGGCTTTGGCCAGACCATCAGATGACTAGGCAGGGCCAATAGGGGACTGCAAGGGTATGGGGGATTCTAGCCTCTCCTTTTTGCAGGTCCTGATTTCCATACAGTGGCTGGGGAGGAGATGCAGGGTGAGAAGTCTTAGTGGAAGGAACAAATAAGTCATAAGGAGCATGTAGAAATGGTCATTCTAGGAGACAAGGGTTCTGGGATGTTTAGTTACAGGGGTAGAGGAGATGAGAGGAGGGTAGAAGAGCTGGTGGAAGACAGGGATTTGGGTTCAGCTGTGGACGGGGAGAAGGTGCTAGAGATGGACACTGGAGGAAGGAACAGGGTTTTACAAGGAGGGAACCCAGACCGCTACTGGGGAGCAGCAGATACTGTGGGGAGAGTGGGGGAGTCCCCAGATGCAGGGAGGTGGACTTGAGCATGGTTATTCATCACTTTGTGGCACAGTGGTGTGCTGTGAGCGGGGCTGTGCTGAAAGGGAGGCCCCAAATCCCAGGGAAGCAAGGAAGGAACAGAAAAGGGGAAAATGGTCCTCCCTTTTCTACAGCAGGAGCTCCCTCGGCCACAGTCTCCCTCGGATCTGGATAGTTTGGATGGGCGGAGCCTCAATGATGATGGCAGCAGTGACCCTAGGGATATCGACCAGGATAACCGAAGCACGTCCCCCAGTATCTACAGCCCTGGAAGTGTGGAGAATGACTCCGACTCATCTTCTGGCCTATCCCAGGGCCCAGCCCGCCCCTACCACCCACCTCCACTCTTTCCTCCCTCCCCTCCACCACCAGACAGCACCCCCAGACAGCCAGAGCCTGGCTTTGAGCCCCATCCTTCGGTGACATCCACTGGATATCATGCTCCCATGGAGCCCCCCACATCTCGAATGTTCCAGGCTCCTCCGGGAGCCCCTCCCCCTCATCCACAGCTCTATCCTGGGGGCACTGGTGGAGGAGTTTTGTCTGGACCCTCAGTGGGCCCTAAGGGGGGAGGAGCTGCCTCTTCAGTGGGGGGCCCTAGTGGGGGTAAGCAGCACCCCCCACCCACCACCCCTATTTCACTATCAAGCTCGGGGGCTGGTGGTGCTCCCCCAGCAAAGCCACCTAACACTCCAGTCGGTGGTGGAAACCTACCCTCTGCTCCACCACCAGCCACTTTCCCCCATGTGACACCAAACCTGCCTCCCCCACCTGCCCTGAGACCCCTCAACAATGCATCAGCCTCTCCTCCTGGCCTGGGGGCCCAGCCACTACCCGGGCATCTGCCCTCTCCCCATGCCATGGGGCAGGGGATGGGTGGACTTCCTCCTGGCCCAGAGAAGGGCCCCACTCTTGCTCCGTCACCCCATCCTCTGCCACCTGCTTCCTCCTCTTCTGCCCCGGCCCCCCCGATGCGGTATCCTTATTCATCCTCTAGTAGTAGCACTGCAGCAGCCTCCTCTTCCAGTTCTTCCTCTTCCTCTGCCTCCCAGTACCCGGCTTCCCAGGCATTGCCCAGTTATCCCCACTCCTTCCCTCCCCCAACCAGCCTCTCAGTCTCTAACCAGCCCCCCAAGTATACTCAGCCTTCTCTCCCATCCCAAGCTGTGTGGAGCCAGGGTCCCCCTCCACCTCCTCCCTATGGCCGCCTCTTAGCCAACAGCAGTGCCCATCCAGGCCCCTTCCCTCCTTCTGCTGGGGGCCAATCCACTGCTCACCCACCAGCCCCAGCACATCACCATCACCACCAGCAACAGCAGCAGCAGCAGCAGCAGCAGCAGCCGCAGCCGCAGCCGCCGCCGCAGCAGCAGCAGCAACATCATGGGAGCTCTGGACCCCCTCCACCTGGAGCGTATCCTCATCCCCTGGAGAGCAGTAGCTCCCACCATGCACATCCTTATGCCATGTCTCCCTCCCTGGGGTCTCTGAGGCCCTACCCACCAGGGCCAGCACACCTGCCCCCACCTCACAGCCAGGTGTCCTTTAGTCAAGCAGGGCCCAACGGCCCCCCAGCCTCCTCCTCTTCCAATTCCTCTTCCTCCTCTCAAGGGTCCTACCCATGTTCACACCCCTCTCCTTCCCAGGGCCCCCAAGGGGCGCCCTACCCATTCCCACCCGTGCCTCCGGTCACCACTTCCTCGGCTACACTTTCCACGGTCATTGCTACAGTGGCTTCCTCGCCAGCAGGCTACAAAACAGCCTCCCCCCCTGGGCCCCCACCATATGGCAAGAGAGCCCCATCCCCAGGGGCTTACAAGACAGCCACCCCACCCGGTTACAAGCCGGGGTCGCCGCCCTCCTTCCGAACGGGGACCCCACCGGGCTACCGGGGTGCCTCGCCGCCTGCAGGCCCAGGGACCTTCAAGCCGGGCTCGCCCACCGTGGGCCCCGGGCCGCTGCCACCTGCAGGGCCTTCTGGCCTGTCATCCCTGCCGCCACCACCTGCGGCCCCCGCCTCAGGGCCACCCCTGAGCGCCACGCAGATCAAACAGGAACCGGCTGAGGAGTATGAGACCCCCGAGAGCCCGGTGCCTCCGGCCCGCAGCCCCTCGCCCCCTCCCAAAGTGGTAGACGTGCCCAGCCACGCCAGCCAGTCGGCAAGGTGAGCGCCGGGGCGGGGTGCGGCGGGCCTGGGAAGGTGACGGAGAAGGGGGAGCTGGCGCGGGAGGGGCCCTGCGTCCATGTGGTGCTTTTCAAAGTACTTCGGGCCCTGGCCTCGCCTCGCCTGCGGCCGCTGGCTCAGAACAAAATCACCGCGAGGCTGAGTGCGCGTTTCCTTTGCGCCCGGCAGGTTCAACAAACACCTGGACCGCGGCTTTAACTCGTGCGCGCGCAGCGACCTGTACTTCGTGCCGCTGGAGGGTTCCAAGCTGGCTAAGAAGCGGGCCGACCTGGTGGAGAAGGTGCGGCGCGAGGCCGAGCAGCGCGCGCGCGAAGAAAAGGAGCGCGAGCGCGAGCGGGAACGCGAGAAGGAGCGCGAGCGCGAGAAAGAACGCGAGCTGGAACGCAGCGTGGTGAGTGCATCACCGTGCGCGCCGCCCGCCTCCGGCCCGCCCACTGCACGGCGCAGGGAGGCTCGGGAGGGAGTGTGGTGGGGGGGCGGGGTGTCAAGCGCCACCCGTCGGATAGGAGGAGTCACTGCAGCCCAGGAAATGGAGACCAAAGGGTTCCAGCGGGAGGCGTTGCATTCATGGGTTGGGGAAAGGCAAGCTCCACAGGAAGTACCTGTGGATCGTAGGAAGAGCCATTGTCCTATGTAGATAGAGAAGGGAGCAGGGAAGTCCCTGGTAGGCTGAGTTCCAAAGAGTTGAGGCTTTATGGCGTTTAGATGCTGAGACAAATGAGCAGCTAAGAACCAGGGTCAGCCGCCAGGATCTTTCCGACCTGCCGTTTTGACCCCACTTCTCCCTGTATCCCACAGAAGTTGGCTCAGGAGGGCCGTGCTCCAGTGGAGTGCCCATCTCTCGGCCCAGTGCCCCATCGCCCTCCATTTGAGCCAGGCAGTGCTGTGGCTACAGTGCCCCCCTACCTGGGTCCTGACACTCCAGCCCTGCGCACCCTGAGCGAATACGCCCGGCCCCACGTCATGTCTCCTGGCAATCGCAACCATCCATTCTACGTGCCCCTGGGGGCAGTGGACCCAGGGCTCCTGGGTTACAATGTTCCAGCCCTGTACAGCAGTGACCCAGCGGCCAGGGAGAGGGAGCGGGAAGCCCGTGAAAGGGACCTGCGTGACCGCCTCAAACCTGGCTTCGAGGTGAAGCCCAGTGAGCTGGAACCCCTCCACGGGGTCCCAGGGCCAGGTCTGGATCCCTTCCCGCGACACGGGGCCTTGGCGCTGCAGCCTGGGCCACCCGGCTTGCACCCTTTCCCCTTCCATCCGAGCCTGGGGCCCCTGGAGAGAGAACGTCTAGCGTTGGCGGCTGGACCTGCTCTGCGGCCAGATATGTCCTACGCCGAGCGTCTGGCAGCTGAGAGGCAGCACGCGGAAAGGGTGGCTGCCCTGGGCAACGACCCCCTGGCCCGGCTGCAGATGCTCAACGTGACCCCCCATCACCACCAGCACTCCCACATCCACTCTCACCTGCACCTCCACCAGCAGGATGCCATCCACGCAGGTGAGGTTCCTACTTCCCTGCCCTGATCCTCTGAGGGCATCTTGGGCCCTCCTCTGCCTGATTGGGCCCTTCTGTTCCTCAGGCAGGAATGATTTCCCTGCCCATGTCTGGCATGAGCCTCTCTCCTAAGATTGCTGCCCTGGTCTTTGCCTCCCCAGCCTGTCTCCTAACCTGGCCTTGCTACAGAGACCCTTCCCTGCACCCCAACTCTCTTTTCAGGTCTCACGTCCCACTCATGATAGAGGCCCAGGACCTTTTAAGGAGCACCCCTTCCCACCCCTACAGCCCCTGTCCCTGAGCCCTTCACAGGACTGTTTTCTTGCTCCTCTGGATTCAAATCTGTTGTTTCTTGCCATCTTCTCCGCTCCCAGGCAGAGGTGTTTCATGTTCCTCTCTATCTCTAGATATGTGACCTTCCATAAAGAGCCCTGTAGCTCTGGCTGTGGGATGATAGATGACAATGAGTTTTGCTCACAGTCCTTTCACCATGTTTCTTCTTGCCCCATCTAGCCTCATAGTCACGTTCATTCCAGACTCCTTGTGCTTTCTCTCTCTTAACCTCCTCTCTCCCTGTCTCATTTCCCACACCTCATCTCCTCTAAGAGGTCCCCTCCTCTCTTCATATTCCTCAGGTCCCTCTGACAGCTGTAATCTCCTGCCCTCTGCCATCCATACATCCCTACTCCCCTAGCATCTTGCCAGGTCCATCTCCCAGGCCCCTAGTTCCTCCATTGTGCCTCCATAATCCACCCTGGATCTCCCTGTGTTTGACTGTCCATCTCTCTGCCCAGGTTTGGACCCCTTCACCCAAATGCATGGTTTTCCCCAAACCTGCCTTCTGGTGACACCTTCCTCTTCTTTACCCTCCAGCCTCTGCCTCGGTGCACCCTCTCATTGACCCCTTGGCCTCAGGGTCTCACCTTACCCGGATCCCCTACCCAGCTGGGACCCTCCCCAACCCCCTTCTTCCTCACCCTCTGCACGAGAACGAAGTTCTTCGTCACCAGCTCTTTGGTAAGGATGGAGGTTGGGGGCAGGGAAGGTCTCATGAGAGAAGGGCAGAAAGGAAGACATTAGGTAGTGGGATTGGCTTTGTTGGGCTTGGGGAGAGGTGCGGAGGTGCCCCGAGGAGCTGGGAATGGCAGTAGGAGGGCTGAGGCCCTGCCCACAAGAGACACGGGTTTTAGGGCCAGGCTGAGAGGTCTGAATCTCAACCGCCTCTGGCAACTTGCAGGACTTGTTTAGTCTCAGTTTCCTCTGTATGAAAGGTGGCTGGCTACCTCCTCGCCCGGAGGAGGTGCTCCGTCCCCCCATCAGTCATGTGTCCCCTGCCCTTCCTGCCCACAGCTGCTCCTTACCGGGACCTGCCAGCCTCCCTCTCTGCCCCGATGTCAGCAGCCCACCAGCTGCAGGCCATGCACGCGCAGTCTGCTGAGCTGCAGCGCTTGGCACTGGAGCAGCAGCAGTGGCTGCACGCCCATCACCCGCTGCACAGCGTGCCGCTGCCGGCCCAGGAAGACTACTACAGGTACTGCAGGGCGCCCGAGGCCAGGCTGAGGGGTTCGAGCTCAGCCTGCCTGGGATGGGCGGTGGCTCCTGCGGGAGGGAACCCCTCCTCCACCATCCTCCGTGAGAGGGGCCAGGTCAGGATGGACCTCAGTCTCTCAGTCCCTGCTCTGCATCCCCTCTTCCCCCAGTCACCTGAAGAAGGAAAGCGACAAGCCGCTGTAGAAACCTGCGATCAAGAGAGCACCCATGGCCTCCGCATCTGGAACCTGGAGGCCTCCCTCCCCGCCTGCCACTCAGAGCCGAGGGAGGGGCGGTGCTGCTCAGTTTCAGGGCCTTGGGGCCACTGAGCAGAGGGAGGAAGGAAGGGACAGATGGAAGGCCAAGGCTCCTGTGGTGTGCAGAGGTGGGGAGGTGGCGGGGTGGGGGGCAGAAAGCGCACAGTATCTTGACCAGGTCCCTCTCCCTTGTCCCCCCGGCTTTCTTCCCAGACGTCCAACCCCGTGGCCACCGCCCCTCCCCAACCCCGTTGGTGTGATTATTTCATCTGTTAGATGTGACTGTTTTGCGTAGCATCGTGTGCTGCCCTTTCCCCTCCCCAGTCCCCGTGTGCGCGCCCCCACTGCGATGTATGCCCCTTCCCCCACATTAATAATTTATATATATAAATATCTATATGACGCTCTTTAAAAAACATCCCAAACAAAACCAACCAACCAAACAAAAAAAAATCCTCACGACTCCCCAGGAAGATGGCTGTGACTGTTTCTTTGTGGACTATGGGGGCAGGGGTGGGGTGTGTTGGTGGTGGTGGTGGTGGTGGTGGTGGTCACTGCGCAGCGGCGCCCGGACAGAATGCTGTGGGACCACCGGAGATTAGCCTGGAAGTGAGTAGGGACCGTGGAGAATAGGAGAGGGGATCTCGAACAACATGGAGCCCGGGCTCCGCCAGAGTGGGTACCGGTGCTAGTCCCGTCCTTCTAGGAAGTCGGGATGCTGGCGGCCTGGGACAGGCACGTCTCTACGCCCTCCAAGGAACTTCTCAGACTTAGGAGGCATTTCTGCCACTGGTCCCTCGGAGCCACCAGTATATATATAGCTCGGAGCCACCAGTCCTGAATCCTCTCCGAAGAATGGTTAGAAACGGTGATAAAGCAGAGGTGCAGGGGCGTGGCTGCAATAGGTTGAAGCGATTAGAACCCGGGAGTGGGTTTTAAGAGGGAGTGGGTGACAATTTCAGAAGGGAAGGGAAACAAGAAGGCGTTAGCACACACCCCTACACAAGGCCATTTTAGGAAAGCACAAGAGCTGATTTAGCGCCCAGTTTTTATTGCTGCGAAGCTCTGTCTTGCTTCTTAAAAACTAAAGGGGAGTGTCTGGCTTCTTTCTCAGCCAATCGGCATCGACTCATTTGCATAGACTTGTATCAAACATTCACAAATCCTAGAAAGAAAAATTTGAGGGAGTTCTTTAGAATACTGTTTTTCCCTTTGAAAGTTACAGCGTGCCTCGTCGCTTGTACAGCAATAGGGGTTAGGAAGCCCCAATCGGAGCTCACCCTCACCAAGAGTGGAGTTAGTGGCTATGCCGTCTTCTCCCCGGGCCTTCAGTCCTCAGTGTAACAGCTCTTTTAGAATTTGTCTAGTAGGCTTTCCGGTCCGCACCGGAAAGCCCCCACGTACGTCGTCTGCAACAATAGAATCATTTTCGCGGGGGCGCGGTGCTCTCCGCTTGCTGCCTTTGTTGGGTGCTAGCTGTCTATTTTCTTCCCGAGAGTTCGCAGTGGGGAGGGTTCGGACGCTTCCGGCCTCGACTGGTGCAGCTTCCCCTCCGCCCCCACCCGGCCAGAGAGCCTGTCTGGGAGGCGGCTCGCTGCTTTGGAGCGTTCTCTTGGAGGCGTTGCACGTGCATCTTTTGTCCTATGGCGTCCGCCTCGGCCCAAGCCGCCTCTCTGAGTGCGGAACAGGCCAAGGGTGAGAAGCCTGCTAGTGACCGGGTGGGTTTCCTGCGGGAGGAGGGTGCGGGCGGGAAGAGCTGGGGCGAGAGATGTGGCTGCGTTCGCCGGGGAGTGGGGCCGCGCGGTGCTATCCTCCCCCTCTTAAGAGAGGTCCTTTCCTCTTTAGAGGGAGGGATTCGGGGCCCTAGTTCATCGCGTTAGTGCGGTGTCAGTCCACTAATTCCCTGCTCTCTTCCCTTCACTCTCGGCTGGGCCTGTCGGCCGTGCTCTGATGCCTACCGGGACTCCTGCCTGGGATTCATCTGCCGCACAGTGGTCCTGGCCGAGGTGATCCAGGCGTTCTCGGCTCCGGAGAACGCCGTGCGCATGGACGAGGCTCGCGACAATGCGTGCAACGACATGGGCAAGATGCTGCAATTCGTGCTACCCGTGGCCACGCAGATTCAGCAGGAGGTTATCAAAGCCTATGGCTTCAGCTGCGACGGGGAAGGTGGGTCGGACGGCGGTCGGGGTGGACTGGGTTGGGGAGAGGGCGACAGAACCGTCGTTCCCTTTCTGGCCACACGGCGGCAGCCACAATCTAACAGTATTGGCACTCAGAGATCCAGGGTCTAGTGTGAACCTGAGCCAGGCGAAATCCTAAGTGCATTTTACAGTTATCATTGATTATACTATTATCCTATCTTAAGATGAGGAAACAGAATCTAGTAATAAACTGCCGGAGGTCACAGCAGAGCTGGCCTGAACCCCTTCTCGTGCAGGGATGTCTGCATAACAGCACGCTTCTGCAGCCCCTTCAAGGTGTTTCAGCTAATCTCTGAGGGCTGGCAGTTCAGTTTCTTTGGTGAGGGCGTGGTGTTTCCCGAGGGTGTTTATTGATTCAGTCCAGCTGGCCCACAGCCCTCCTGTATCCTGGTCATCAACCGGTGATCTTGTGGGCGTGCATACTTTTGGGTCTTGTGATGAAATTGCTAAAATGGTTCACCTGATAGTGAGAATCACAATGCTTTGGGATATTTTCATTCACTGCATCCCGTCCAGTTGTGCCTGGCGTAGACCAGGAAGTGGTTTATCGAAACCTCACAGGGCAGAGGCCTGCATATGTCTTGTTTGGCAGACAGCTACCTGGCTACCAGAGGGGTGGCAGCCAGTGACTCATGCTCACACTACCTCCAGCCACCGTCTCCCGTTCTGTCTTGGACTCATCTGTCCCCTGGGGTTGTGGGTTAATTCTCCGCTCACCCTTGCAGGTGTCCTTAAGTTTGCCCGCTTGGTCAAGTCTTACGAAGCCCAGGATCCCGAGATTGCCAGCCTGTCGGGCAAGCTGAAGGCGCTCTTCCTGCCTCCCATGACCTTGCCGCCCCACGGGCCTGCTTCGGGTGGCAGCGTGGCCGCCTCCTGAGTTGGCCCTCCCATGACACTGCCAGGGAAGGGAAAACCTTGGTGTTCTGGAGGATAATAAATGTGCCTGAGACTTAGCCTTGGTGTCAGTCTTTTGTGACCCTGACAACCCTTGTGTCCTGGTCCGGTTCCCTCTGCCTTTCAGGCCATTCCATCTCAGTCCAGATCCTTTCTGGGCTCCAGGGCAGGGTGGGAGGATGGGCCGGCCCCCAACACCCCAGGTGGGTGGGCCTGCACCGGTGGCACCTCCTCTGAGAAGTGGGGCTTCCTGAACTTTTCCTGAGGCTTCTAGGCTTCTGTGCCCTGAGAGGCTTCCCCATTGGCTGATGTTCCCCTGGCCAAGGTTACTTCCTGATCTTTGCCCCCACCCACCCTCTCCCGTTCTGTCATTTTGTCTGCTGAAACTCCAGGTGGCTCCTCCCCTCCCGAGGGAAGGAGGCCCTGGACAGGCAGGCAGAGCTGGGGCTGCAGGGAGAAGCCAGCTGCTGTGGGCGGTCTGAGGCCAGCCCCACCCCACCTGCCCCTTTTCCGGGGACATTTAGTCCAGGGGCTTGTCCCTGTGGTGCCTTTGGCCTGGTGGGCAGCCTTGAGAGGGAGGTGGCTGAGTTCTGAGTGCTCTTCCTCACCTGGCTTGAGCCGCTGCACAGCTGCGTCCCCGGCTTGGCCCCGCCCCCTGTGGCCTTCTGCCTGTGACTCCCCACCCCTCTGGGGAGATGCTGTCCCGCGGGTAAGTCCCCTGCTCCACCTGGGTGCCACAGTCTCCTGTTCTTCTGGGAGGGGAGGGCAGTGTTCATGCTCACCCCTGACAGGTATGTGCCCGTGAGTGTGATCTGTCCCTGTCCCCTGCCTGGGGTCTGCTTCCTGTCCTACTTACCGCGTCACCCAAGATGCCAGGAGCTCCAGGCTCATTCACGCACCTCTGCCCTGCTCCCCCCAACCTTCTCTAGCACTTTCCCCCTGACAGATGATACTTATTTTCACCATTGTATTTCTCTCTCCACCCTCTGGTCCCTGCTTCTGCCATCTACTTAGGACCTGTCCCCCTGGGTAGCTCTCATCACCTGCAACGTTACAAGTATGCAAGGCAGACCTGAGAAAGCTCCCTAGTTCCCACTCAACTTCCCAACGTCCTTCATTCCGCTTTCCTTCAGTTTCCCTTCACACCGCGTCCTCTGCATCATTCATCCCACAGATACCCACTGAGCATCCAGTATACGCCAGGGGCTTTTAAGGTGCTGCCAACACTGTAGCAAACAAGACAGAATCCCTGCCCTCACGGAGCTTCACTCCAGGGGGAGGCGACAGCCTGCATGAAGAGCCATCAAAAAGGATAATTGCAGATTTTCAGACGTATTACCCAGAAAATGAAACAGCTTCACGTGGCTAGCAAGTGACTGGGGTGCCAATGGCATCTGTAGCTGGAGGTCAGGGAGGGCTTTCCTGAGCAGGTGACATGGGAGCTGAGACCTGGATGAGGAGGAAGAGCCAGCCTCCAGCCTCCAGGCCAGTGCCCCCTGGGCAGAGGGAATGGGCAGTGCAAAGGCCCCACTGTGGGAACAAACAAAGTAAGACAGTGCCTGCAGCAGAGCAGGCCAGTGGGGAGGGAGCCAGGGCCCGGGCAGGACCAGGCCTAGCTGGAGTTTGTTGGTTTTGTTTT